CCGGTGACCCTCCGGCTCCAATGTCCCCACATGTCGGCCCGGCTGGCGGGCGCGGCCTGCAGGGGGCGCTGTGTCTGCTTCCTGCGCTATTCTTTGGGGGATGTTTTTTTTTGCACGAAATTTTTACCAACTCTACATGAATTAAAAACACACAAAATAAGATCGTTTTTAAGAATAACTCACCGGCCCTCGCTCGCACACCGACCCAGGAAGGAATTGAGGGTTTTTTGGGCTCATCTGTGGCTTTTTAAATAGTTTTAAGCGGCCCCACCGCGTCCAACTTGAAGGCGAACACGGGGCCAGATAAGCCAGGGTGACGGGTAAAAAAATGACAGTTTTCGTTTTCACGGAAAATGTAGTTTTATTCCGATGGAGACCTGCTCAAGGCAAAGGCCTGAGATTAAGAGTCGTCGTCAACATAACATAATAGAGCGTTTTAATAAATATTAATGTTTTTCTTGAACATGAACAAACCAGACGCTGAATAGCAACGTCAATGAATAAACGTCGCGCGAACAGACCTGTTTTTCTTGTTCTCCGAAAGCGAGATATTTCCCGTTCCGCGCGCCCAGCAGGTCCGTCTGAGACGAAGGGCGCCGCCATCGGCTTCTAGAACATTCACTGCCGGTATCGGTGGGGAGAGACGGTGCACCTGTAGGAATTGAGGGTTTTTTGGGCTCATCTGTGGCTTTTTAAATAGTTTTAAGCGGCCCCACCGCGTCCAACTTGAAGGCGAACACGGGGCCAGATAAGCCAGGGTGACGGGTAAAAAAATGACAGTTTTCGTTTTCACGGAAAATGACATGAGTGCCACACGATGAGAGGCCTTCAATTTAAAAGAATTAAGCAATAAAATTGATTAAAATTGGTAAATTAAAATCAATTTTATTGATTTTAGTGGCGACAACCTATATATGGTATATATAGGTTGGAGATCGACGCCGCGAAAGGCCTCGAGGTCGCGAGGAGGATCCGCGAGGAGACCGGGAACCAGAAAGGTAGGGCCGGGGGCGAAGGTCCCTCCCTCCCCGCGTTCCTATCCG